CCAAGATCGTTGCAACACGGAGAAATGTAGCTGGGACGTGTGCGAGGGCAAACTGTGCAAGAAGATGGACGCCGTCGAGCTGCAGCAGACCGACCACACGCTCTCCCCCGACGAGTTCCATAGACCTAGACGATAATGTAATGTGCACTTCTGTGTTTACGTAGCTTGGAACTAGATGCCTCTACAATCAATTATGCTTACGGCTTACTCACGTAATTGTTTGGTGAGATAACTCAACTAGTTTCGAGCCACGCTAGGGACTCATATTCATGAGCAGCATTGTAGAATGATTTTAGAATGTTCTAGTTGTAATAGATTGTAGCTGTTTATGTCCTAAAACTACAACCTGCCATTGAGAGATGAGCAGCAGCATCTTTAAAATTTTCGGATCTCTAATCTGTCTGCGTCTGCCAAGCATGGGGATTTTGGCAAACCTTTCGGACCACCTTTTCTCGTTTTAGTTCAGCAGTAGACGTCTTTTGGCGACTGCTTTTGTAGTTTTGGCTGAAAATGTTGGTGGACAAGTGAATTTTAACTCTCAGAGATGTGCGAACTTAGTAGAATAGATGGCTTTAGTTTTCTAGTGATTGCAAACGTTATGCAGCAAATAAAGTGAGAGTTCGAGTTTAGATATGGTTTTTTTACTTTAGTTGTTTCTGTATTGGTGTGTGTTGTATTCTAGTTTATTTAATAATCTTGTCCTCCACGTGGTTTTTGTTAAAGTATTTTAGCAAAAAATATTTCTTTTATTTTAATAATTTTGTTATAACAACTAATTTTGTAATTTCATTTACTTAATTCGTTTCGTTTAGCGCTGTTTAACTTTGGTATATTTGAAATAGTTTTGAAGATGAATCTTCTGACCAACATTTAGGTACCTACGTTGCGACATAGAGACAGAACATGACTTTGTAGTTTTAATACAAGTTAAATAGTAGTATAATTACACCATCTGCATGCCCAAGGTTACATTAGTTGACACAGTTGTAGAAACAAAATTATAATTCCTTTTATTTTTCACGACTTGCTTTCCAAATTTAAATTGTATTTTTGTTTAATATTTGATCAGTAGTGTACATAATGTGTTTTCAATAGCAACTGTATTGACGGAATAATATCAATTATCTACTTATTTGATTAATATTATAATTTATAATATGGATACTGTAACTGTCTTTCAAATGCAAAGCTTAGTTAAACACAGGGAAAATATTTACGTCTTTTGACACGTAGATACTAGATAGGTATTATATGGCTATTAGTAGTTTCCGCTTTTTTAGTTTGTTAATTTTATTATTACATACCTATCATGTATTTAATTTTTGAAGGTAATAAAAATTGTTGCTTTTAGATGTTATGTTACTTTAATTTGACTAAACTAAAATCTTCTTCGCCTTTGATAAACTCGCTACGAAGCATGTTCTATTATTCATTATTACATTATATTAATTACGTGTGTTTCCCCCACAGCTGAGAATACAACTCCGCCTCTACTGGACTCCTCGATGAGTTCAGAGTCCGACTTCTTCATCTGCCAGACTCGCACCTGCATCCAGCCCTCACACTACTTCCCCGCTTCCTCACAAGAGGGCAGCACCAGCGAACAGAACGCCACCTGCTTCTACGGCGCGAAGAAATGCCCCTCGAAGGTAGCTAGAGCTAAGAAAATTCAGGCTTCCACATCACACTGCCATCACGAGAGTGAGAAAGAAGATAGTCCTAGTGTAGAAGATGTTCAGCTACTCCGAACGGAGCGACAAGGTTGCTGTAAGAAGAAGCAAGAGCCTCCACCCGAGGAGAAGTGTTGTAAGAAGGAGACGACGGTGATAGTCCACGAGCCCAGCCAGGGCTGCTGCAAGGACGAGAGCCCGGAGGAGCCGCGCCAGGACGCGCGCGAGAAGAGCCCGCAGATCACCTGCTGTCACAACGCCAAGTCCGCGCCCAGCGACAGCCAGGAACAGATCATCAAGTGAGTGACGGCCACGAGACACGAGTGAAGTGGCGCGAGGCTCATGTATCACGCGTCCACTGTTTGTGGGTGTATGTGCGCGCGTTTGTGGCGTCTGTAGTGTGACCGGTCATTGTTTTATATGTTTTTTAGTATTTTGTTAAAGAAATTAAGTCTTCCAGTGAAAGCTTAATGTTGTTAGGAGCGACACAAACGTGCTCACAGTATTCTGTGATACCTTCTTTCTATTCTTGATGTCTGACTGTTAGAGTTAGGATTCCGACTATGCAACACATCCAAAACAGTGGGACGTCGTATTAGTTTATAAAGAATCGGTTAATAATGACAAGTAATGTTTAGTATTTTTATTTGTACAGGAATTAAATATATTTTGTTAGATGTAGATTTATAAGTTTTTTTATATCGGCATATCACTATTTTATAAAGACTTGTGTGAGGACTAAAAGTTGTCTAGCAAGGTGTACCTGTCCTGACCAGCACATTGATACATGCATTGGTGTGAATCTAGCATAATTGTACAGTGAGAAATATTGTTGCGATCAAAATCTATTTTCTTTTTCTATAATTAAAGAATATTGTAAAGGCTACACGCCACTAGTCACTGACGATTGCATGAAAAGTAAATCAAATAGAAAGTACTGATGATAATGGAGCCATGGCACCTCCGACTTGTGCAATAAACAAATAACTCGCATAATTAGTGTGCGCATATTGTATAACGCATATTTTTGTCAGTTTGCCGAATGTTGTGATGACCTCCATATTGTTTTTAAACACGCGGCTCTAGTTGTCCACAGTAGGTACTTTATTTTATTGAAACCTTTGTAGACTCTTTTATATTATTTTTAAATATGATTATACATGTTTATGTTACGCGGAATGTGTTGGAAATGTTCAAATGTATTGTTAGAAACACTTTTCCTGGACCTTTGGATAGCATGTATCTAAATGCGTGTGCGCAGCATAAAGTCGCAAGATTTGCACGCCAGGAAAGGAGTTTGAATGTTGACTGTATGTTATTTATACGTAATTGTGTTCCTGGCGACAATATTAGTGATTATAGTGAAGCAAGTGCCTTACGATGAGTTGCGTTGTGCCAAATATTGTTATGTTGAACGAAGCACCTGTTTGTAATGTATTGTTGTTGGATAATATAGACGAAATATTTTACTCTCTACATGTTTCATTGTGCCTATATTTAGGTTAGTGTGCTAGTCGTAATAAAACACAATACTAATATTTTTATAATACTTTATTTATCGTCATGAATATAATAATAGAACATTAAATGAATGATATTAAAATAATGACTTAACCTAACTTACATCTAATATTTTTGTTTCAACATAATCACAATAGATGCGGCGGGCGCGGCGGCTAACTCCTTATCCCCGTGGTAATAGGGGCTATTTTAGCGAGATTCTAAGACATTCACTGGTGGGGTTACTACTCCTACAATGTAGGTACTACTGGTTTGGTTCCTGTGCACAACGGTACAGATGTGGCTACGTCTGACGATTGTGTGCAAGATACAAATATTACAATAACGTAGTGAATACTTAACACAGTACAATTAAAACATAATTTGAATTATTCTTGCGAATATTCACTGTAAAATTGGTACATTTGTTATAAATAATATTATGTTCTGTTCTGCCTGCAGCTTCGTTCGCGCTCTAAACAGATTACATAAAAAGTAGACGCGGTAGACATACAGTTTCTTCAAAGAATATACTCAATATGCTTATTTCTATAAAGGAATGTAATGTCCAAATACTCACGCCACTCAATTTTAAGTCGCGCACTAATATAACTCCTTTTTGTGAAAGTTTTTTGTCCCAGCTAAAACAACAAGTATCGTCGTACAGAACTAAATAAGAAGACCATATTCTTCAAAGAAAGAAAATGTATATCACGTCTAGATTTCGTACAATTTACTAATTCACGAAATAACATAATTTTTCCATATTTCGTGACAATATACAAAAAAACATTTGAAATATTGAGGTAAAAGTTTTGAACTTTGTTATATGGAAGTACTTCGCCTTTTGCTATTTCAATGGAAGCAACAATAGTCTTTTATTTTCGTGAATACAGAGTTACCGCATTCATATACCTACAATAACTATAGTGTGTTATCATTTGAGTGAAACATGAGTTAGAAACAAATAGGAAATCGTGTAACCTTTATCAATGATAATTTAAAAACACACTTATCGTCTTCAGCCACATGGCATTTCTTATCCAGACTAGAATATTGTAAAAACGTACAAAATGTTCCGAACAGTATTGCACTAAGTATAATCTTACATGTAAAGTAGTATTTATAATAAAATCATAATCACTGGCCAACATAAGTACGCCACAGCATTTCGAAAATGTTTAGAAATTACACTTAAGATATTGACTGACAGTTTAAATACCAATTTAACGTTTGATATATGAAACTAGCATTTACTTCTTAGTAAATAAAATACAAAATAGGATACAATAACCTTAAGAGCTTGTATCTCTAAATTGGCCATCTGTCCAAGATTATCGGATGTCCAGCCGCGCCCCAATCTGCGAGGCTTCAATCAACTAATAATAACAATAAAACTAAATAAATATGGCGGTCTGTCTGTCTGCAGATACATACAAACTTGATCAACATGTGATACAGGACAATTTGGTTAGCAGTTTATCTCTTGTAGTGAAGATAGTGAAAAATATACTTCATTTTATAATCAAGTAAAAGTTATGTCAAGTAGATAACAAGTTTAAAATGCTGGTTACATATTTCTCTTAACACCCCTTCAGGTTTTTGCATTTCTCAGATGCCTAGAAAATATTTTTGAATGTACTTTTTATCCGTTTTTCTAAATCTTTACCACTTGTTATGATATCAAAATATACTAGACAGACAATTAATTAGCCCTTCCTGATTTATAATTACTAATGAATCAATGTAATTCAAATAACATAACACTCTTAAACCTCAATTTACTTCACTACACAGAGACAACAGCTTCTATAGAAAAAAAAAATCAACAAAAATAAATTTCTTATTTAATAAATGTTCAACAGTTCAGGAAGTTCGCATTGGAATGAAACTATAATAGTTTAGTGCGGGAAGACGGCGACGATGCACGTAAGTTATCTAACGGACCAATCACTGCGATCCAAGAGAATGCACGTGTCAGATGTGATCCAATTCACTACTTGTGTAAAAATATACTATGTTATGTCACTGTCTACTGTACACCGCTGCCTACCCCTGCTGGGGAGCATGGTCATATCACCCTGTTTGTTTTTAGAGAACTTGCAAATTGCAGCTTCAATCGATCGATATTCTGATTAATTATTATATTTAGAGCTAATTCTTGACTATGTTCATATCGATCGACATTTTGCCTTTATGGATTATATTAATTTCAACGAGATTTTCCCATTTTCATTCATTTTGTCATGGCAATCATAATTCATAATTTGGGATAAATTCTCTATCCACCCTGACACGTGACATTCACGAGCTATTCTATAACAATCTATGCGCGGCGCCAGCAGAGCACGCTCGGGCGGCGCACGCGCACCCGGGTGTCGGTAGTAGCCTTTAGTAAAGTTACACTATACACAATAAGTTAGTTAATACTTAAACATAAACAGTATCAGACATAATTTACTTATTCATAAAGATTACTATTCACCTCTCCTACAAAGAGTAGATACAGTATTAGCGCTAGTCTATCTACACCCACGCGGATATACACTTACTTTACTGACTATTATACTTTTAAATAAATAACCTTGTAAACGTGGCTCGCTACCGACGCCCGGCCCAACAATCACAGACGTTCGAAGTCATTCGTAAAAAAATAAAATTGTAACAGAAGTACAACAAACATCACCTACATTAAAATGTTAACATTACAAGTGCAAAATGTATTCAAAACCTTACAATTACAGACTTTATACTATTATATCATATCTTGTGTATTTAGGAAGTGGAGTTGCGGTCACTGGCAATACTTTCAAAATGTGACCAAATCGCGACATCTTTGTTTCAAACAGACAAACTGTATAAAGAGTGTATAATGTATATACTTACATTTTAGTTATAACTATCAACAATTTACTTGTAAAATATGTGGTAAGCAACAAAATAGCTACACTGCTAGGCCTAGTACGGTTCTGTCCGTATACTAAGTGAAACATATAGAGTGTACATAAATAAAGTGCAGTGCTATATACTGCCGTGTACTCCATACCACTTGTATCGAAATTGAATGATCAATGTATGTGTCGATCATGCAATTTTGACGACGGTTGCCGGAAGACGAATATATTTATTTATATTTTATTCTGTAACTAGCAATCTGAAAGTAGGCAACTGTCTATTTGAGGAAGTTTGCAAATACCAGTGATGTCCTATCGATATAATCTTTGATTACCTGTACATTCCTAATACGAGGTTAGTCCTGGAGAGTATAAATATACACGTCTCGAAAGCTTATTCCAACAGAGTTGTAAAGTTACAATAATAATAAAATATTTCTAATAACCAGACGCAATAATAGTCACTATTCTAGTCATATCTATCCTTACAACTCTGACATCAACTAAATTCGCAAGCAAAGGGGCCTGTACTGAAATTAATGTGTAGACCTACAGGCGACAGGATTTGGTCCGACCGACCAAGTAGGGGGCAGAGCAAATCACATCACGTTTGATTTAGTCTGTGCCGCTTGGCGGCGTGGTCCTCTCACGTGTAGGGTGATCCATAAATGCGAGTCAACAGTGTTGTTATTCTTACTGCGTGTCATTCAGGCCATCAGCTCCCAGTACTGCATCACTCGTTCGCCAGATGGCGTAGTCATGCCTTGTGGCCGGACGAAATTCATCTCTATCGTCTTGAACCTCTTCTTTAGTTCGGCATCGAAGGACTGTGAAATAAATATTAAATTGAAATTATCGTCTGAGTAATGTAACAAGGCAACAAACATTAGTTATTTGCTCGTTTTTGGCGTAAGACTGACCGACAGACTGACACTCAGTATGTTATTTGATGTTTAGAAGGAGTTTCTTTGCCTGATTCTCGGTGGGGTCGTATCTATAAGGATGGTGTAGTAGAAGTGTTACCGCGGCGAGGTCGGGCGCAGTGAGCGCGAGCGGCGCGGCGCGGTCGGCGCGCAGCGCCCACACCTCCCACAGCGACGACCCCAGCGCACGGGACGACCGCGCACACGTCTCCTCCATCACGTACGGGTCGTTCGACACTACGGAACATACACATGTACACTATATTGCCTATATTGCTACTACATGATTGATCAACTTTTCCTTTTTTGACGTTGCTCCTTAGAGTACCCAGACAAGAAATGCTGAACTTGTCTAGTATAGCAATAGACGATATCGTATTGAGTACTCACTGATAGCGGGCGTGTCTTCATAGCAGATCATGCGTTTGAGCGCGGGATGGCGCAGCAACAAGTTGGCGACGAGCTGTAGCAGTCCCACCGCGTCCTCAGGGGACGCCACCAGCGCCAGCCGAGACAGACGCTTCGCGAACGCCGCTACTAGACTTTCTGGCAAGTGGCTGGAGAAGGGAAAACATAATATTATGATATTCTATAAAACATATTACTTCTAGTATTGTCCTATAACAGTTACAGTTTAACTAATTCTTTTTTTAACCATAAGATTGTTTTTTTATACATTTGACGGCGTTTGGCCACTATCTCGCCCAGTGGTAAGCGATGATTAGGAATGTCATGTTACGTGAATGTTTACTAGTACTGAATACCAATAGTATTATGTTTAAATTAATTTATACATACAAGACACTCATAACCTTCTATAAGGTTGTCTGTATATATTAACAATACATAAATGATACCGATAAAAAAGTAATTTAGTAGATATCTATAGGCCCACGCGCCAATTGTATAACAACGTCGCGTCACCGTACAACAGCATGTACTGTCTAGTTGACACAAACCATATCATACATGTTGCAAATGAGTCATCTTTAGTCGAGATTTTTTTGTAAACTTGTTTTTAAAAGCGTGAATAAACAATTGTATGCAGACTTACGTGGAGCTGAGGAAGATGTCTGCGAGGTGCATGAGTCGTCGTTTGTACCGTGTGGCGAACATCTCAGGCTCGAACATAGCATAGAGGCGGTCGTACATGTCGGGGTAGTCGATGTTGTGACGACGCACAAGCTCCAACACGCCTTGCAGGGCCAACATACTGATAGGACCACCTGTGGATACATTATGGCATTGCTATTTTATCTCATTTCCTTTATTTGTGTCGGTATAGGTCCTTAGATTTACTATTATCTGCTCTCCACAACCTAGTAACGGTTATAATAATGTGAATAGTGCACTAACCAGCATCCAGACTGTCGCAGAGCATGTCAGTGGCGAGATGCGGTCGGTTCAGTAGCGGCATGAGTCGCTCGACGAGCAGGAGCAGCGCGCGGCGGTGCGTGCGGGAGTCGTGGCACAGCGGCCACTGGCACGCGAAGCCCCAGCAACGGTTGGCGTAGCGCCGGCACACGCCCGGGTTGTACGGGAATGGGGCCTTGTCTGGACAAGAAAAATGTTTCATTTATGGAAATAAAACAAATAACTTCCTATGTACAAATGTATGAACTATTTCCTCACCTTCAGTGCCACACAGAAGTTTCTCTTCCTTTTCTTCGTCATCCCTCTCTTTGCCCTTGATTTTGGTCTCTGTGGGTATCTCACATACCAGCAGTTTGTCAAGCAACTCCAAGTAGTTCTGCATGTATACTGATGTTGGTGATCTGCAAGATTATGTACAGTTAACTCATAAAACTTGTGAAAATCAGTAATTAATAAAGTTTATGGTTATTTTTAAAAAGTCCCTTACTTGCGATAAGCGATTGTGGAGAGTACTTTCAGCCCATATTGCTGTACGTCTTTGTACTCGGTGAATTCCTGGAAGCGAGCTATCGGTGCCGACATCGATATTTCAGGGTCCAGCAATACATTGAATATGTTCTAAGATAAAAACAAATTAATTAGCACATATTCATAAGATGTTAAATGTAAGTCAAGAAGTACTAAACCAAAATGACAAGTAAAGAACAAAACTGTGACAGCTTACCTTGAGTCTGACTGATGGGAAATAAAATCCAGAGGAACCTTCCAGAGGGTGCTTGCCTTCAGCCTGCATGAGCTTGCAAGCGGTGACTAGAGCCTGCAGCCGGGAACTCATGCGACCACGGCGGATGCACTCCAAGATGCGAGTCTGGGCCGCCTCGAAGCACTCGCGCAGCCATCGTTTGTACTGCGCTTCGGGACTATTGTCTGTGAAATAAGGCTATCATTATCAAGCTGTTCAATTACTCACACAATCAAGGAAAATGCGGTTTCGTATCGCAAAATGATCACATGTGACATGCTATTCAAATCAAATAATTAAAGAAGTCACTTGGTCACAACAGGACAAATAAAATTATAAAACAAACACTACATTGTGGATGATATAAGTTTATCACAATTAATAGACTGTAATAGATATAGCTTTAAGTACATAGAAGCTAGTTTCAAGTGTCATATTACAACAGCCATGATGAAAATGGCGAGTCCAAGAGAAATATACAAACATTTATTTGTGTATTATGTTAGAACCAGTCCTTTTTTCGTATTTATTGACCTTTTATATCTGAACTTGTCATAAAAGGTTAAAATACAATGAACAACATGTATGTGAATGACTCAGACCATCTCAATTAGAACAACTTTAAAATCATTATTTGTTTTGTTGATAATGGCTTACATTGTATTCCTTCAACAATGTTCCTAACATAATATTACAGTTGTTTTATAGAGGAATATAGTTAAATTCTCTTTGAAATAAGTAATAAATTAGCATGACTTGCAGTTTGCTATCATATGACTGCAAGAGTCACTCCTAGTCAGCCATAGAAACTTGATATCATTAATCAAATACATATATAAGGTTTTGAATAGCCATTACAAACCACTTTTCGCTGTATATATTTTTAATCACAAAAATTGTCCACTCATGCAATTTTAGACATAGGATTTGTGTATCAGTGTTGATAATATTATGTTTGTATCCTTCAAACTTTGAAAAGGTTAAATGTGACTCATCAGTATCTGGCCAGACCAAATTCATGTGCAATTGATATTGATATTCTATTAACAAATGTTTTTGATGAACACTGCTTTACAATGTATCTGAATACACATTAAAATAATGATCAATAGTACCTATACTGGTAATGGAATATAAAAGTAATTATGCTACATTTAAATCATTATACTAGCAGCCAGTTAGTTGTTTTATTAAGAGCCATCAATTACATCGTAAAGAGTGCTATTCTTCAATTTTCCCTATGATTATGGAAATTGTATGTATGTATAATGAATTTAATAACATTAAGACCAGGCTTGTGTACATGTAATGAATCTTAAGTCAACTATATCTTATACTATTATGTATTATATAAAGCTGAAGAGATTGTTTGTTTGAACACACTAATCTCTGGAATAACAGGTTCAATTTGAATAATTCTTATTATGCTGGATAGTGCATTTATCCAGGAAGGCTATAGGCTATTTAAGTGAGCTGAGCAGAGCAGGGGTAAAACCACACAGAAGTAGCTAGTATCTGAATAAAATTTATAAGGTTTTTACTTTTGAAAATTAGGAATACTTATTCATGGTGGTGTCATTAGAAATGTAAATATTGATAAGCCATTTTGTTTAATTTCAAAGTAAACAAAAGGGTAAACACTTTACAATCAACATACTGTGTACTGTGTGTACACGTGAGGCACACAAAAGACACATGCGTGACCTTGAGGCCGTGTCCAGTAGCACAGCACAATGCTTGGTAGCAGCCAGATAGAACCACCCAAAACCAATACCAATCTAACTTTGTCATTATGTAAAACTTATTTATATAAAGCTTCTGTACATAATGCAGTTCGTAACAAGAGTAATTACACAAGAGTGCGGCTCTGCGGTCGAATCACCCGTTTATATAAGCAAATAACGTCACATGTCGCAAAATGTGACCACACAGGACACAGCCCACTCGACATCCTTACTGCCCACTGTGCCTCTATAAACTTGACACTCTACGTAGTTATTAAACAAATATGGTGCCTAGGTACAGGCAAAATCAATATTATTGCCACAAAATAATCTATAACATGGAACACCACTTTGACACTTACCTGCTGGTTTAAGTGGAACTATTCCCTCTAATAATTCGCCTCTTCGCAACAGTTTTGTAAATATCACTTCTACAGTAAGCAGTAAGGGCGTATAATTGTCCGTCTCAGCCTGAAATACAATAAATAATCATTATTACAGAACGTAACCTATGACGCAGTTTTAATATTGCAGTTTTTACTAATCTGAGAAACATATGCTTACCTCAAACATCTCTAGTATATCAGCAAGATTGTTATGGTTTGCTTTATTACGAAGCTGCGCCGAAATCATTTTTGCAAAATTTGGATTTGGTTGCACAGCAGCCATTTTTGTATTGAATTTGAAAAGAATTTATTTGTCAGATTGTCAGTCAGACAGACAGACGAACGGATACGGAAAAGCAACTTCACAGAAAAAATAAAAATAGAGATGATATGGGAACTCGATGCGTTCAGTATAACTATTTGAATGAAAGACCGATATTTTCTGCGGTTGAAATTGAAAATTATACTCTATGGTCGCAAACAACTCGGTTGATGACTGCAAGCAAAGCAAATTGAGTTGAGGTTATGTGTCAGAACTCAAAAATATAAGCGGCGGCATTTGTTTTGAAACACAGTTTTCTTTAAATAGAATATATATTCCAATAAAAACTTAAAATGGACGGTGATTTGTACGACGAGTTTGGAAATTATATAGGACCGGACTTAGAGTCTGATTCAGACGACGAACAGAGTGTGTATGGGCAAGATAACAGGGATGCGGACGAAGATGCTATGGAGGAAGACGAGGACGCGGATGCGGAGCCCGAGGCGGCGCCCATGTCTGTTGTACTACACGAGGACAAGCGGTACGTTTATACGTTATCAACCAAAACATTGTACAACCACAACTAGACTATTCTTTATAAGGTTACACAGTGAACTCTCAACTCACTGACAACACATCTTGAGATCATATCTACCCCTTCTAATAAGGACTAAGACAAGACAACTTGTGTCAAGAATACTGGTTAACATATTGTACAATAATTGTTACCAAACAGTACAAGTATTTTGATAATTTATACATTTCATATGACACTATGACCTATTCCTCTTGTATACTGCTATTACAATGTGTTACAACAAAGAACATTACTACAATATATTTAAAAACAGAATTTCAAGAATTAGGATAACAAATAAAGTATCTATAAACAAATAATTAGTATAGTAATGAAACCGCTAATAAACTACAAACTAAGTGTTAATAATTGTGTCTTGTTTGCTACACAGGAAATTATTTAGAATTGGTTTATGTTTAACAAATCTATGAAATATCAACCTTAGTCTGATTAAATATTTCTTGGCATTTCTATTTATAATAAGTAAAATGTAATTGCCAATGAACTTAATAAATTATCTTCCTAATTACATCATAACTGTAACACTGGATTCCAATTTGTTTCTCTTATCAGATACTACCCTCAAGCAGTAGAAGTGTATGGACCAGATGTGGAGACAGTGGTCCAGGAGGAGGACACACAGGCCCTGGACAAGCCTCTGGTGGAACCTATTAAGCACAAGAAGTTCCAGGTCCAAGAGCAACAGCTTCCTGAAACCAAATATGATATGGAGTACATGGCAGACATGTTGGACAATACCAATCTCATGAGGAATGTCACTCTCATGGGACACTTGCATAATGGTAACTAGAAAATGAAACTTTTTTAATGTTGAGAGATTATGTTCTGGGTCTTGTTAGTTTCTGAGTCAAACCTAAGTATGTACTAATGTAATTGTTTTCAGTTTCAAACTCTACTTGTTTGATTGAGTTTTGTGACAGTAAGGTTTGAGTGTTTAAGTCTTTAATCTTTATAAAGTTAAAATTGTTTATGGTAAACTGGAGTTCAGTTAAAGATAAAAATAATAGTCAATAGTTACTTTGCATTGTAATTAGGAAAATCTCTGCTATTTACTTATACAAATGATTATGGTGTCATAATATTTATCTTCTATCTAAACCCAATATTTTACATTTTTCCAGGTAAAACTTCATTTGTAGACTGTCTGATCAGACAGACACACCCAGGCACAATAAACACAGACACAACAATACCGATGCGGTACACAGACACTCTGTTTGTGGAGCAGGAGCGAGGGGTCTCCATCAAGTCCATGCCTGTCACCCTACTGCTGAAGAATATCAAGGGAAAGTCACATCTTCTGAACATAATGGACACTCCAGGCCATGTCAACTTCAGTGATGAAGTTACTGCTGCTTTGAGGATATCTGATGGTAAGTAACAATCAAACTTAACTGCTTCTTACATAATTACGATTTCTGAATGAATGTCTAACTGAATTTGTATTAATTTGTAGGATATTTACTGAAAATAAAATGTGCCAAAGTCAAAGCATTTATTTCATGCAGTTTTATGTACTCTGACCAACTGAGCTATTATGAAGCTAATCGAAATGCATGTTTGTGGTGTGCATTAACTACATGAGTCAGTTTCAAGGTGTTTATAACCACATCCATACCTCTCATTTACTAATTATACTTTTCTCTCTACAGGCGCGGTACTTTTCGTAGACGCAGCGGAAGGTATAATGCTGAACACAGAGCGACTCCTACGCCATGCAGTGCAGGAGCGAGTGCCCCTGACGCTTTGCATCAACAAAATCGACCGCCTCATACTGGAGCTCAAGCTGCCGCCCGCAGACGCCTACTACAAGCTGAGGCATATCATTGATGAACTCAACTCCATGCTGGAGACACACCAGCCTCAGGACAATCCGGATGAACCGCCTATTGTGTTCTCGCCTTTATTAGGTAAACTTTTGTTACTGAAACTTTGCTTTGTTCATTTGAGAAAGAAGCCTTTCTCAATTGTCTTTAATTGGGTTAAATATTGATAATGAATTTTCATTACCTGAACTAAAATATCTTGCATATAAAATTTCCCGTTTTTACGTAACATTATGAAATACTTAAGCAGTAAAGTATTGAAGTTCTCTCAACTGGCCAACTGGCAAATAATGAGGAGATTTTATCGTATTATGTTGGTTATCAAACTAAAATATAAATTGTGTTTAATTTCCTCAGGCAACGTATGTTTCGCGTCGTCGCTGTATGACGTGTGCTTCAGCGTAGAGTCGTTCGCGGCAATGTACGCGGCGGCGCACCCCTGCTCGGGGCTTCGAGCGGCTGACATGGCGGCCTGGCTGTGGGGAGATGTATACTTCAACGCCAAGAACCGTCGGTTCACCAAGAAACAACCTCACGCATCAGCTCAGAGAAGCTTTGTGGAGTTCATTCTAGAGCCGCTGTACAAGATTTTTGCACAAGTAAGCCAATAGCCAAAGTTTGATCAATAGAAAATAAAAGTATCTTCGATGTTTTAATGTTCTTTACTGCAATTTGCGATCCATGCAAGATTCTTCATTATCAAGTAGTGTTTGTGTTTGGGGTCTGCACAGGTTAGGGTTTGGTTGGTAAAGGCTATCTTAATGACTGTCTGATCATCCACATACCAAATGTAAGGAATACGTTCTCTAACTATCATGATCTCCGCAGGTGGTGGGTGACGTGGACGACACGCTGCCAGCCGTGCTGTCGGAGCTGGGCATCAAGTTGACCAAGCAGGAGGCCAAGCTCAACGTGCGCCCGCTACTGCGCCTCGTCTGCAGTAGGTTCTTTGGAGACTTCTGGTGAGACACTATCTAAGATTACTGTGATTATGGTGTCATTATCTATATTAGTTAGAAGTCAATGCAAAATGCAATTTAAAAAATAGCATGGTCCAACAATCAGTCACTGGTGAGCTGCTTGTTGGAAAGTGTACATTCGTATGTTGAAAGATAAGTAAACTCAATGACAACTCATTAAATGCTACCTAAGTTTAAGGCTTTGACTGCCGACAGAAAACTGTTGAGGGTAAATCCTCCGCTAGCGTGGCCCATATGTTGTTCCCCATGGCGTTCAAGGTGTTAAGAGATGTTAAATTCCTATTTTAAAGTGACTATATTGGCTGCCACTGACTTCTTATCTCGAGTTTAAGTGGAATAAATTTATTTGTTCAATTTGAAAACAACAATTGTAGCGGTGAGTAATGTTGCAGTGGTTTCGTGGAGATGGTGGTCCGCCACGTGCCGTCCCCGCTGGACGCGGCGGCGCGCAAGGTGTCGCACACGTACCGCGGCGCGGCCGGCCCGCTGCTGGACGACATGCTGGCCTGCGACCAGTCGGGCCGACTCGTCGCACACACCACCAAGATGTACCCCACCGACGACTGCACTTTCTTCTTGGTTAGTTTATAACATACATAACATCACACCTTTTATCCCCAAAGGGGTAGGCAGAGCAGAGCACATTATCGCACTTAATGCCACTGTACAATGCAACAGCCACTTTTTATGTTATGAGTCCCATGTAATAGGGGTTGAGCCTATTGCCATATACCAGGCACATTTCCAGACTTCGTGCTACTACTAAGATTTTTTTTTAAAACCCAGTGTTACTTTGCCTGACCCGGGAATCGAACCCGAGATTCCTTGCCCGGCACTCGCACTTGCGACCACTCGACCGACGAGGCAGTCGTTGGTTAGTTCAATCCTCATAAAATTGTTGACTACGGCACATGTCTGTCTATTCATGATCAAAATCTAAGTTAAGCAGTGTATAAAGTAATTTTTGGCTGTATGTGAAGTTGTACTAGAAATAAAAAACATTATCTGTCATACAGGTATTGGCACGCATAATGTCAGGCACACTGTACGCGGGCCAGACGGTGCGTGTACTGGGGGAGAACTATAGTACGCAGGACGAGGAGGACTCGCGGCTCATGAACGTCGGACGACTGTGGATATACGAGGCGCGGTACAAGGTGGGTACTCGGTAGAAATACAGGATTCTAACACGCAAGCAAGTCATGCATGTCGTTAACTGGAATTACCGGAGGCCCAATCCTGATAAGGTCAGCAACGCACTTGAAACCTCTTGTGTTCCGAGTGTCCTCAAGCGACAACAATTGCTTAATATCAGATGATTCTTCTGCTCGTTTACCAACCTATCGCATTAAAATACATACATAAGGCACCTACAAAGCGTAGATAATATTTTCATTTTGTTCTATCACCCTTTATCGTCATTATGTATTTGTGTCCAGGTGGAACTGAACCGCGTCCCAGCAGGTTGTTGGGCGCTGATCGAGGGTATCGACCAGCCGATAGTGAAGACATGTACAGTGGTGGCCAGTGACGAGGATGCAGAGCTTCATACCTTCACTCCGCTGCGGTTCAATACACAGGCTGTTGTCAAGATTGCTGTGGAACCTGTCAACCCTTCCGAGTTACCTAAGATGTTAGATGGTCTGAGAAAGGTATGTCTACTGATCGATGATATTTTTTTTAAGGTT